GTGAGAGAGCAGAAAGAATAAATAGCTGTGTACATTCCCTGTCAACCTGGAATGACTAAAGAGAAATAGTTATTAAGTATTATGTTATATGTCAAGTATAAGTCCATAAAGTAGAATTAAACTGAGCCCAGTGAACTTTCTTAACTCCACTTGTGATGGATCTGACATAATGCCATTAACTTTAAAGGATATTACATAACTGTATAACTGGCTATGTTAAATGTGCTTATTTTATTTTAGTCATAATCCTATCTAAAATCTTTACTACTCAATATTTACAATTCTCTTAACAATTGAACTTAGTCACTGTCCAAATCCTATGGTCTTGGAAAAGTCAATGAAAGTGGGAGTGTAAAGATTTTTTTGTTCTTATACTTATTATAAATCTGACTTATTTCCACTTTATTTCATCTTAACTTAAAGTCAGGTTACAATTCTAAAAGCATTCAATTTGTCCACTTAACACAATAGCTAAACCAGAGTCTTAGCAGCTCCAGGAAATGAGACATCTAGATAGTTACCATACTCTTACATATTTTCATTTATTTTGTTTTATTTTAACTTTTCCTCTTAAACATAATGACTTTTTGCTGTCTTTGAAAGTTTGAGCTATTTTATTAATGTCTGTTACATTTAGAAGAAATGCTCCTTATATATGCCCATATAGGTATTTGAGCAACCTTCCTTCATACTAAGAAATTATGGCAAATAGACCATCAACTTCATTACTATTCATATTGCTTATAGCATACCTTTCCTTTCTTACAGCTTTTTAAGGGGGCAGAAGGTTGAAACTGTTCATACTGCTAAACTTTAGTGGTCAGGAAATAGAAACCCATTGTTTTTAAATCTGTTGAAGAATGGTAAAGCCATTCTCTAGGAGGATATATACGTAAATTATAATTTTACTAGATACAGAGAAATTAGATCTTTTAAAAATCAAGGATTTTCCTATGTCCAATCTGGATTTCAAAGCCCCATTTTCCACATTTTTTGCATTATTTAGCTGACCCAAGCACTTAAAATTTACCTTACTAATACCAATGGAACACCCAGATTATAGAGGCTTCAGTTGCCTTTTTTTTTCTTTTTCTCTCTAGGAAGCTTGCTTTTTCACATGAAGGAAAGAGAGAAAGAAAATTGGAATCTTGTCAGCCTGCATGTCATTAACATTTTTGCTAAGCTTTTTGGATAATTTAACATTTAGCAAACTATCTTAAAAACAAATACTGTCATAGTGTCATGTTTTGGCTCTCCAATTAGATCATACTCTTCTTAAAGGCAGAAACATTGTTTTATACTCCTCTTCTATTTACTCTTGGCTGGGGGTGGAAGGTGGGGAAAGGAGTTGCTAATAATTGGATTAATTGAATCTTTGGCAGTACAAAGTATTGTATAAGGAGGCTATGAGGGTCTGTGCACAAAAAAAGATTCATAATATCTATCATCTTCATTATTGTAATATATTTCTAACAAGTTTTCCTACCTCTAATCTCTCTTCTCTCCCATCCATCTTAGACATATACACCAGGTTAATCTTCCTAATGCACAACCTTGATCAATTTATTTTAGGGGTGATATATCATAATGGATTATGTTAGAGTTGTAATCAGAAATATTAAGAGTTTGAATCTTGCTTCCAACATGCTGTCTTTATGAACCTGTACAAGTCACTTAACATAGCTTCAATTTCTGCATTTGTAAAATGAAATGAGAATCAAATGAGATTATACATGTGAAGTGCTTTGCAAACATTAAAGCACTGTGTAAATGTGAGCTATTAGTATGGATCTCATTCCTCTCATCTTATATTTGATAAAGTTCAGATAGAAACAGGGTATTCTCTTGCTGTTATTTTATACTTAATATTCTGAGAACTATTGAAGAGGTGAATAAAATTACTGATTTTTTATAGGTGAATAAAAGTTTTAGGACATAAACTGGTTTGTAAACTTACTGCTAGCATTTTTGAGGCAATTCCATTAAATACAGTGTGATGGGGATGATAGGAATTGCATCCTTTTCAAACATAATTTTATTTTTTCCCCACTAGGTTTCTGTTTTTTGACAGCTTTGCATTTCGTATAACTTGGGGATTGAGTCTTCAGTATGGCAACATCTCTTCTAAACATTGTTCTTAAATTTTCATAAATTATTGTTATTTCCAGGAAATTGTGGACAACAGTTTTGTCTATGATAATGCTATAGTCTTAGTTAATTGATTGAAGACTAAAGAAAATTTTGAGGTCTGTATTTATCTTATGGGGATTTGCTGTCAGTTTATAAGTTTCTAGCGTATGATACTGGCCTTTTCTTGCACAATCTGCATTGAGTCCAGAGTCTTTTATAATAGATAACTTTTCTATAAGTTCTTATAGCATTGTCTGGGTCTTGAATTGCTATGATTTGTCTCTGTTTCTATAAACAAATCCACGTAGTTCAGCCATTTATTTGACACTTCTTTACCAATATAGTCTTGGTTCCATATCACATGGAGATCTTCCTTGGAAGGCCTTTTGTGTAACTTTTTCACTGGTCCTTAAAACGAATTCAAGTTCTGATTTGTCCAGAAGCTGAAGTAACGAAGAGGCAGAGTTCAGTTCAGTATAAGGAAAAACTTTATGATGATGATAGCTGGTAAAAAGTGAAATTTGCATCCTAATGAAATAGTAGGTTCCCCTTTATTAGGTATTTTAAAATCTATATTTTAAGGTGGATGACTTGAATAACTGTGTTTTGGAGATTTTATAGAAGGAATTTTGGATTAAGTACAAGTGAACTAGATGACATGAGGTCTTTTCCAACTCTTAAGTTGTGTGTGTGTGTGTGTGTATGTGAGATACCTCAGACTGATGCTGCATATTGTTGAGTTGGACTGAGCTTAGAATTTAGAAATATGGCTGGATTGCATTTGGGAAATTGTACTATGCTTTCACTTGTTTGAAATTGTACAGAGTTAGGAATACAGGCCCTGAAACCTGTATTCTCTTTGTCATACTCTATGATCATAAATCATTAAACTGTGCAGTGTAGAAAAATTGAAATGAGCTAAAGTACAGTAGCAAGATACATGGTAGAAATAAGCATGCACAATATGTCTCCAGATGATTTATGTATATTAATTGTTATAAAATTCATGTGTGTGTATGCGTATGGGAAAAGGAGATAGACTGAACTGTGAAAATCAGCAACACCTGAGCGATCCATTACAATTCCTAAGATTCTGAAAGATGACCTCTGGTGCCTGAGGTAAATCATGCAGTCAGAAACAAGCACTTATGAAGCACCTATTTGCCCAGACCCAGTGCTTAGTGCTGGGGATACAAAGAAACACAAAAGCAATCCCCGCCTTCAAGGAGCTTACAATCTAATAGGGGAGACAACAGGAAAACAACTATGTACAAACAAGATATATATGGAATAAATTGGAGATCATCAATAGACAGAAGGGACTAGAATTAAGAGGGATGAATATTGGCTTCTCAAAGAAGGTGAAATTTTAGCTGGAGATGAGGAGGGAGAGAATTCTAAACTTAGGGACAAGCCAATGAAAATGCCTAGAGTTGGGAGATGAAATGTCTTGTGCAAGCGATAGCCATTGTCAGTGTTTTACAGAATATTGCCAGGATTGAGAGACAGGGCAAGTAAGACATAAGACTGAAAGGGTAGGAGGGGGCCAGGTTATAAAAGGCTTTAAAAGTCAAAAAGGATTTTATACTTGATCCTGGAAGTGATGAGGAATCACTGGAGCTTATTGAATAGGGAGATGATGTGGTCAAACCTATACTTCAGGAAGACTAGTTTAACAACTGAGTGAAGAAAAGATTGGGATGCAGGAGACTAAGCAGGATGCGGTTGCAATTGTCCAGGCATGAGGGAGTGAGGACCAGCATCAGGGTAGTGGCAGTGTCAAAGGAGAAAAGGGGATTTATATGAGAGATGTTATGAAGGTAGAATCAGCAGAATTGAAAATAGATTGGGTATGGTGGGGAAAGGGAAGTTGAGAGAGTGTGAAGAGTAAAGATTGCCACCTAGGTTGCAAGCTGAGATGACTAGGAAGATGGTGCTAGCCCTGACACTAATAGGAAAGTTAGGGAAGGAGGAGAAGATGGGGGAATGGGGGGAGAAAACAAGTTCAGTTTTGGACATGTTGCACTTAAGATGTCTCTGGGACACTTTTTTGGTGCATTTGTGGAAAAATGTGATTAGATATATAAGGATATAGAGAGAGATATGTCAGGGGTTATGTCAGAGGAGGGAGTACTCACTGATAAAATCATGGATCTTTGTCCATACTACATAATCCTCCACAGAATTCTCTTTTTTTTAATTGATAAAAATTGTCTTTCAGATTGATTATATATAGAGTTTGTATTTAGGGAAAATAATATTCCCCAGTTCAGGGAGTCTGGGACAAGGCACAACTAGAAGCATGAAGCTTCAAAAGCATTTTTATTTGGTTTGTAAAAATTGAAGTAGCTTTAATAGTGTACATAATAACGATAGATATTCTTGAATTTGGAGATGTAATGTTGAATTGGACAAAATCGGTTAAACCACAGTGAATTCTTGAAATTAGAGAATAAATAAGTTCTTGGGAAAAATGAAATAGTATCAAGTTGAAAAGCATTTTAAAATAATTTTAATATGAATTTAATGAAAAATGTGAGCACGTAATAGGAACTATTTACAATAAGTACTTAGAAATTGTAATTTACCTTTTAGTTTCTTTGCATGCCTTTCTGATCTTTTTGTTTAAGTATATCCTGATAAAAATAGACCAAGTAAGCCAACATGCTATTCTTTAGTTTTCTAAAAGTTTCTTGTTAAAATATGTAAAGACTGAAATTTTCCATATTCTTTTAATGAAATTTAATTTGTCTTTTAGAAAGTGGTTAAGTGTTTGAGCTTCTTGGTATTATTCATTTTACTGATATCTATAAAGGAGAAAGAGCCTTTTGAAACTTTTTCCTCTAATCGTTTTCATATTTGATCTCTAGGGAAGCAATGCGAAACTATCTGAAGGAGCGAGGTGATCAAACCGTACTAATCCTCCATGCAAAAGTTGCACAAAAGTCTTATGGAAATGAAAAAAGGTAGGATAATAATTTTTTTTGTTAAGTGGAAAATAGTATTTTTTCTGTATGTTGTTTATTTCAATGATATGCATCTTGCTCTTCTGCTCAAGCTAGGGCAACTAATAATTATTTGACTTATTTAAATGATTCCATTCTTTACCACATTCAAGAACCACTGAGAGGATTCTCTACAGCAGTAGAATCAAACTTAAAAAGAAATAAGGACCACAAAACTGTACATAAGGATCCCTGTGGACCACATATTGACTTAGAAAACCACATATTAACATACCACTGTTCCATTGTATTTTTTTTTTATTTCGTTAAATATTTCTCATTTACATTTTAATCTGGTTTGGCTGCAGGCACTGGCTCCCAGGCCGAGTATTTGACATAAGTACTTTTCAGGTGTTCTGGATATTAGTAAAGGTTGGAGATCATACATTTGGAGTTGGAAGGGACCTCAGAATCCATCTAAACCAGGGGTGGGAAACACCTTGTGGCCTTGAGGCCACAGGTTCCCCACCCCTGATAGGCCATTCCCCTCATTTTACAGATGAGGAAATTAATGACCAGGGATTTTAAGTAACTTGCCCTGTGTCATTCAGGGGTTCTCACCAACAAGGCAAAGTTGGTAAATAGAGCAGACATGATTACAATCTGGGGAAAGGGAGAGGTGGTCTGTTTGAACCCTCCATCTTAGAATTTGTGATGGGGCAGAGGAGGGGACAGCTAGGTGGTGCAGTGGATAGAGCATTGGCCCTGGAGTCAGGAGGATCTGAGTTCAAATCCAGGCCCAGACACTTGACACTTACTAGCTGTGTGACCCTGGGCAAGTCACTTAATCCCAATTACTTCACCAAAAAAAAAAAAAAAGAATTTGTGATAGAGGAGAAGAAACCTGGGCATAGTCTTACATGTTCCTGAGATTTCAGGAAACCAGATTTTAAAGCGGTCAGAAAAAAAGAATGGGTATGTACTATCCCATGTACAAAAGATCATACAGGAGAAGTTATCCCAGTAAGGATGCATGAAGTCCAACTCTAAGGAAATTCAATAAATATTCAGAAAATGTTAAGAAAGAAGAGAGGTAGTTATCTAACGAACCCAAGATGAGTACACAGGGAACGTATCAACCAATTTAGATTTTTTAAAAGATGGAAGCAAGGACTGGTTGTGAATGAAAAATACTAAATCATGTTGTGGTCCTATGAGAATGGTTGCAGGAATTATGATAGATTTAGAACTGGAAGAAATCTTAGATGTCATCTAATCAACTTCCTCTTTTTATAGATGAGGAAAGTGGTACCCAGAGAGGTTAAGTGATTGATTCATATCATAAAGTAGGATGGAGAAGACTGAGGATACAAACCTAGGTTCTCTGACTCTAAAACTAGCACTCATCTGTACCACACTACCTCTATTTAATAAAGCTCAGAATAAGTTGAGGCCGACAAGGAAAGCTAAAGATAGCAAAAGGTTTCTCTTTAAGCCATATTTGGAGAAAAGGAGAATCGGGGAAGACATATTGCTTAGGATAAAGAGTTCAGGGATAAACAACAAAGAAGAATAGGTAGGGTAGTTCAATTCTTTTTTTTTTTTTAAACTAGAAATTTTTTTTGTTACATTTTAAGTTCTGAACTGTGTCCCTCCCTCCCCATCCCACACTAGAGAAGGCCACCACTTGACACAGATTTATAAATATATGTAAAACCATACTACTATACATTCTTCTGTTTATCAGTTCTTCATCTGGAGGTGGATAGCATTTTCAGCTGAGCTGCAACTGCTTTCTTCAGAGTTACTAATTATTTCTTAATTACCAAATCTGATGACCTTTTCTCAGTCATGGTCCTTCTTGACCTCTCTTCAGGCTTTGACACTATCACTCTTTGTCCATTTTTCTTCTCTTTCTAGGTTTTTGTTACACTGATCTTTCCTGTGACTGTGGGTAACTTTCCCCCACGGCCCTTTAATGGGCCCTATTCTTTTCTCCCTCTATTCTGTTTTGCTTCATGAGCTTACAGTTCCAGATCTTATAGATCTCAAAGTTCATGATGGGATTCTTCACCATGGATTGAGTTATCATCTCTGCAGATCATTCTCGGACATTTTTGTCCAGCCCAAACCTCTTTTCTGACATTGTGTTCCGTTTTTCAGCTGCCTTTTAGACATCTCAAATTGGGTATCCCATAACTTAAACTCAGTATGTCCAAAACTGAACTCATTACCACCACCCATCACATCCCACCCAAAGTTGTGTCCTCTTCTGAAGTTCCATATTACTGTTAAGGGCACTACCGTCCTCTTGGTCACCCAGGCTGACAGCCTCGGTGGCGTCCTCAACTCTCTAATACTCCATATCCAATCTTTTGCCAAGTCCTACTGATTTTACGTTCATAAGATTTCTAGCATACCATCTCTTCTGACACTGCCACCACCCTGGTGAATCACCTGATTCCTGGACTATTGCAGTAGCTTTCTGTTTGTTTCCTTGCCTCATGTCTCTCTCCAGGCCAGTCCGTCTTGCGCTCAGCTGCCAAATGGATTTTCCTAAAGCACAGTACTGATCATGATACTGCCCCCTCCCCTATTACAATAAATCCCAGTAGCTCATTGCTGTACTCCTTTACCCAGAATTAGGAGCACTTTTAGGTTTTTCATTAGTATACTATGTAATTTCATTGATTCAGTAAAAGAAGATATATCTATGGAAGAGTAAATAAGAGAGTAATAACTGTGTTCACCCCCATGGTAAGAGAAAGTTCCTGGGACTTTAACTAGTTTAGATAAGTCCTCTACTTATAGAAGTAACATTGAGTCTTTAGAGTACCAAGGGTGGGAGGAAAGACCCTAATTTCCCTCCAAAATATCCTTTTTCCTTGCTGATTCAATTTCAGAATGATTCTGACCAGCCACATATGCCATACTGAAACTTGAAAACATGTCTGAAAATGGCCTCCCACTCCTTGACATGTTGACTTTATTGAAAGATTCTGGGTCACGGTGTATGATTAGGCGTTTTCTCTCATCCCCACTACCTCTCAAAACTCTATAATATAAGAATTTTGTGCATGGTGTAAAGCAGTGGCAGGTGTCTCTAGAGACTCTTACTAAGAATCTTAACCCCTTAACAACCTGAGGAATTAATAGCACAGAAACTAATCCCTAACAAGTTTACTCAGCACCCACTACTCTACCACTACCCATGTCTAGCATGGCTTTTCAAAACACCTCTTAAGCTTGTCTTCTGGGTTTCACTGAACAGTTTTCTTGTAGTATCTGTCAGCATGCCCCCTCTGACCCTATGTCTTCCCCAATATTTTGTAGCAACAAGCAATACAAATAAACTCCTCCACCCTCTATGAATGGAGGAGGTAGAATTAAAGAAAAGTGAAAATGTATTTTCCCTCAGGTGGCAATATATGCATCAGTGCTCAGCCAGAGAGCTCAACAAAGGTAACTGTGGCAGGGTTTCAGCTTGTGTGGAAAGCTCCACCAGGCCTGAAGGAAAAGGGACTAGTATCCATTTCAGTGTGCCCCCAGATTGGATCAGGGATTGAGCCTGGCAAAAAGTTATTATTAACTAAAAATTATTAACTAATAATAGCCAATGAAGTCCATGTGGAAAGTGGTCAAGATAGATTTTAAGTCCTGTTAGTTAATCTGCCATCAAAGAGGAAAGTGAAAGTAAGTGATAGGAGATTATGAGGAAAATTACCAAAGACCCCAAGAGGAAAAAATTCAGTTAAAATCCTTGAGTACAGGCAGATAAATCAGTAGGAAACATATTAATAATACAAGGGAAGATAACCCCCAGGATATCTAATGGAATCCAGACATCTCAGAATAAGTATTGCAAGACAAAGGAAACTGAATCAAATTGAGTGAAGCAAAGAACTCTTGAATTCCTGAGATAACATAAATGTAATCCTCACACCTCAACCAGGTACAACCAAGCAAATAAAAACTACAGAGGGATACCATTAATGAATATCAGTTTTGAATCGATCCAGTCAAATAGACTATAACAATTCATTCAAGAAATCATTCATTATGACCAAGTTGAATTTATACCATGGATGCAAGAATGGGTTCAACATTAGGAAATCAGTCAACATAATTCGTCATATTATGATGAAACAAAAACACTCAGAATCGTATAACCATCAAACGCCTTTGACAAAGTATAGCACTCATTTATTTTTTTATTTTTTATTTTATTTTATTTTTTTTAGGCAATTGGGGTTAAATGACCCAGGGTCACACAGCTAGTAAGTGACAAGTGTTTGGTCTGAGGCCGGACTTGAACTCAGGTCCTCCTGAGTTCAGGGCTGGTGCTCTATCCACTGCACCACCTAGCTGCCCCATATAACACTCATTTATGTTAAAAATACTACAAAGTGTAAATGAAGAGTGACTTTTTAATGGCATAAAAAGTATCTAAAGCCAAAGGCAAACATTATAAACAAGAAAAAGAAATTAAAGGTATAAAGATAGGTAAAGAGGAGATAAAACAATCCTTATTTGCTGATAACATGATGTTTTATTTAGAAAATCCTACATAACCAGCAAAGATAACCAGTTGAGGCATTTAATAGTTTTAGCAAAATTTAGACTACAAAAATTTCATAGGCTACAAACTAAACCCACAAAATTAACAGCATTTCTGTATGGTAATAACCCAACAGGCAGTAATAGAAATTTCTCACCCAACTGCACTGACATGAGACTTCTTGGACTAACTTCTCTACTGAGCCCCAGGAAACTCATTATTGACATAACCTCATCATCCCTTAAGATCTTTTCAGCCTTGGTCCTTCCACTTCATCATTACCCTCTGCCTCTCTGGAGGTTGGAGCTGTGAACTCCAAACCTCCATTTAAAGAGAGCTTAGCTCATATATTAAAGATGAATATTATGTATTATATTATAATAAATAATAATATACTAAAAATATAATTACTAAAATTACTAAATATACTATAATTACTAAAATCTGCTTATCTTTTGACCCA